GGAAACTTAAATTGTGTGGTTTGTTTGTTATCTGTTAGACCAGGGTATAGAAAGATAAATTAAATATTAGACATGCAGCTTATCTTAACAACGAAGGAGTGTATAATCTATAAACGGTATACAGGGATTATTAATTTTTTTTCTTTCAAATTATTTGTTTTTGTATGACAGTTCGACGAATGGTTTAACTACTTCCCGTATCATTTGGAGTGCTGCTAGTGTAAACATTGATTGTATACATGTTATAATTTAGTACCTTATGCAGAAGAAAACAGTCCGGGAGCATAAATTATAAAGTATATAATACGTATTACGGACCTTGATATTAAGACATTAGTGGCATGACATGATTACTTTGTCAGATGCGATTCACATGCAGATATTTGCATTCTGCACTTATGACATTTAATATGCGGAATTTAAAGAGCTAGAAACATATTTTTTTCGAATTTGCTCTGTTTATCTTCAATACTAACATAGAAATTCGTAAGATTAATTAAGCTTCATCTTGTATTAACGAGATAGCTAAATCCATAACGAGATAACTATTCTTTACAGTGCAGGGAACTAATTTTGTTACATAAACCAGCATCAGCATAAGCATTAGTAGCATCAGGATCGAGCTAGCATCAGCATCAGCATTTAAAAAACAGCATTACCAGGATCAGCATCAGCAAGCAAAGGATAAAACCAGCATTGACCTTCATAAAATCAGCATTATCCTACTAGCATCAGAAAATCAATGAGTTTTGATTCAGTAAAAAATTAAAAAAGAAAGAAAGAATATTGGTTAAAGTATTCACATTATTGATACATAGTGAGATATTATGATCAAATAATTGTAAAAGGCACTTTTATTACTTTAAACAGCAATGCTGAAATTCAATATCTACTTCCGGTAGCATGAACATTTTTTTTTGCAAAAAAGCATACCAAAATACAAGTCGGCTATGTTATAGAAGGAAATGTAAAATGCAAAGTAACTGTAAACATGTAGGAAAGGTAATATAGATATCCATAATGGATAGGTTTGTGGCTTACTCAGTACCAGTTATATCGCATGTATCACCTGTGTGTCACGTGACTTGTATAAAAATAGAATGCTAGTGCAAGGGCATACGCATGTTTTGGGAGAAAAAAAATTGATACATATTAAAAAAGATTTACATCGGCTTCCCGAAAAGTGCTGGGAGCTAGTTTGAGCTGTATCGTAAATACTCGTAACATTCGCCAAAATGCGTATAATAGCTCAAAATTTCCACTTCGCTTAAATTCTGTCATGAATAAAAATAATGTTATGCCGAGCAGAATCAGCTCCCAGCTCTTTTCAAAATAGACATGATATAAGCAATCAATGTTTCATATTTCAGCTCAAACAGTCTAGTCTATGCCCTTGCACTTTTGAGGTTAATCAGGTATACACTTATCGTGTTCGCAATATTCTTTACATTCTCTGTCGTTGTGCAGCTCCATGGCACCCAGATAAATTAATAATCTATATTACTGTTTTCAATAAATTGTTTCCTTTTAAGTTTATTGATTAGATTTTAACAGTGGCGATGGTTTAATATTTATTTAAGCATTTTTGTAATTATTAATCTAATGGATCCACTCCTCTGGATCACTTGTACTGCGTCAAGTCAAGGCTAGTGACGTCATTTATGACACAAGATTTGCTTCTTATAACTCGGTAGCATTGTTATCAAATGTTGTGATTTTACATGCATTTATAAATAATTGATAAATTAACGTAGAACCTACGTCGTATGACGTCATACTGAGAAAATTAGCTTAGACTGTCTTTTTGGTGCTAGATCCATTATGACGTCATAATTAATTTAATGTTACTTTTTCCCGCACTTTCTTCAAGAATGTCTCATGTAATGAAGTTACACAACTGTGATAATGTGAATGACATGCAACTATTTTGAAGGAAATCAAAAATCCTAAGAAATCTAAATAGTACAATATCTTGATGAAAAGTGTCTGAGTCAAAGATCTGTTAAAAATTGTATGTAAATTTTGTAATGTCTATCATGAAATGACGTACATTCCCTTTCATAATTATTTGTTAATTATTCATAATGGTTGGTGTATAATAATAATGTTTCCCAAAAATATTATCTTTTTAAATAAAAAAAATACATTTTTTGATAAATATTCACATTGTAAATCTGAATGTAACCCCAAAACAGTAATTTAATAATTAAATCCTGTGTAAGTGCAAAAAGGTCAACAAAAGAAGTATGGATAAATAGAGTGTTCTCATTCGTTTGCGGGGAAAGGTATATATTTTAATCACTTTTTGTAATTATTTGGGTATGTTCTTCATCATATTAAAGATTGAAAACATTCTGACAAAGACTTTTGAAAAATATTTACAAATTTAGGTGGTAAATTGACTAAAAAAATATTGAGCACATTTGCCTACATTCGTTGAAATGTGGACTTAATCTTTTATGGCAATTGAATAAAAAAGAATTTATTCTTGAATAATATTGCTTAATATGGTTCAGTTAATAATGTCTATAAACAAGGATGTTTGAAGAAGTATTTTAGTGATTTATTATATTCTCTTTATGAACAGTACCCCTAAAAATGGCTGAATATATGTAGTCGCTGTGTAAAATTATCATTCCAAGTTGCACAGACTGCACTACATTTAATAACGAAGAAACATACCATATATCTTTAATTGATTGATAAGCGAGAGCTAATTTATCATTTTGAAAAGTTTGAAAATCTTGTGACAAAGACTTTTCCGACATAGGTTCTACCTTAAATAAATGTAAGTTGTTATTTACGCATTATCATGTGGTTAAATAGATTTTTGTCGCATGTTGAATTTTTTAATGACATCACAATGAATCTTCCCATACGGTGCATTACAGATGTGAACTCAGGCCTTCCTTAACGTAGCTGAGAATTTAACCGATTCAATAAAATAAACGGACTCAATTGAAAAAAAATCAACAGACTCCGTTGCAAATCGAACGATCACCTATGCAAAACCAACTATCATTTACTGAAATTACTAGATGGCGTAAAAAATGTCATAATCTGACTTAAAGCCAGATGGCGCGCGAGTCTGTAAATTATGGAAAAGCAAAGGGTTCAATGCAATATTTATTTTTAAAGTACACGTAGAGTTTAACTTGTAAATTAAAAAAATAGTAATTTTGCAAATTATGCAATGACATGTTTAACTATCCTGTGCAAAATATAAAAGAAAATTGTAATACGTAGACTTACAATTTTTCAAATCGTGAGATGTCTATGATACTACTACATTTTGTTCCTTATATTACATTGTTAGTAGGTGAAATAAAACATGTTAAAAAATCCAGTGGGTCAATTCATATACATATTAAGGAAGGTTGGGTATAGGGATTCTGTCTACAACCATATGCGGTACATATGTATATCCTTACAAGAATTTGCCAGTCTTATAGATGGAATCTCGAGATAAATATAATTAATCCAAACAAACTTGTTCTTACAATAACGCTGTTTTTGCTCTTTAAAGATATAAGCTGATATGTCCTCATAACATCAGATGTGGCTTAGCTTTAGATTTGTATTTGCCACTTTTTCTCTGCTGTACAAAACAAACACATATACATGTATAGTCCATCCTTTTTCTGGAAGAGAGGAAAAATCAGCACATTGTAAGTTAATAATAATCAAACAATACATTTCAGCCATAATATTCGTATTTTATTGAGATGCAGAGGCGATAAATGGTCATAGACCTTCCCATCCCACTCTATAAAATCTTTAGTTCCGTTAATTGTAGGTGATTAAAGTGCAGAAAGACGAATTCTAATACAGTTGTTGCCGAGATCAAAGAAATACCGCGAACATTACTCTTCAATCAATCTCGAACGTCATCAAAAGATTATCAGATCAGAAACAGAAACATGTATTAAACATTTACAGTTGATATGAATACTTGACTTGATTCTAATACTTATTTAGACCAATCGATGTTTCGTCTTCTGCAGTCTAAACAGTGTGTATTGCTTTAAGCAGCTGAAAAATGTCGATTTTTATTGCTAAATAGGGCTGTTCCACGGACCTCCCTACAATATTTACACTCCGTGATTTTACTGATGAAGCATATGGAATAGACAACCGACTTAATCAATATATGTTACAAACAAACCCATAAAAAAATTAAGGATATTTTTAATCCAGCAACAGCTCAAATCATCTGCATTTCAGTCGATACACAAGTAAATAAACAAACTGACACTCTGGTGTTAAATGTTACAGCCTAATCATGACATGGTGACCTAATCGCTTCTCTATAGTGGAAATGATTAGCCGTATTTTAGAGGTGGTACATGTAGTTAAATAGAAATAAAGTTGTCACGAATGATGCAGGATATCCTCCCCGGTCTCGAAAGGTTATCCTGTACCATTCACGAAAACGCGAACTATATTTCTTAAATAACTAAAGAAATATCACCACCTTACAAAAATATAGACAAAATTGTCTTTTTAATAAGTTATTTCTTTGAAGGCCTGTGTATGTAGCCCCCCGCCCATCAGTATTACAACACTCCAAAAATTTTACATCGGTATGTTTAAAAAAAAATATTCTTATTTCTATCAACAAGTTAGAAACAAACCAAAAATGTTTATGCAATTCTAACATTTAATTTGCTAACTTGTCTTAAGAAATTGAGAATGCAAAGTACATTATTACCAATAATCTGTGCAAATGTCACCTCAGTTTTCAAGTTGTTTCCATCTGACATAATTTTTATCAAGAAATGGTGTTGATGCTTATCAGAAAGTTTAGAATGAAATTTATTACCAATGTTACTATCGTGATAAGCTTTTTTAGAAAGTGCTTGAATGTTTTTTTGTCCGCTTTTACTTCCGTACATATGTATGTCAAACAGTGATAAATAGTGCTCCACTTGGGTAACACGTGTTCTTGTTGTTCTAGGTTCTCAAGTATTTACACACTCGAAGCATTTGATGAGCAGCAACAGGAACAATGCGGGATGACAAGAATATATACAATTCATCAGCTTAAGTCCTATGTTTTCTTCATATCAATCCTGATATCGATGGAGGTAAGATATATATATATATATATATATATATATATATATATATATATATATATATATATATATATATATATATATATATATATATATATATAAATACTCATGAGACCAACAATAAAAAATGATCTGCATGATGCACTCCGACCGACGCATCAGACCCGATTATGTTTTTAGTACTTAAAATTTCTGACTTTTCCTAATGTTTCTTTCCTGGAAAATATAAATTTTCTGTATCATTTTTTAATGGTTTTCTTTGTCATTTTTCTAAGACACTTCAAAAATACAAGTTAATATTAAAAAAAAAATTACACCTACCCACTCACCTTAAAAAATATGGGTCGGAGTACATCAAACAGTTGCTTAATATATTCAACTTAGCCGTGATCAAATCTGTTAATATATTTGTCATTTTCATCAAAACTATTTATAGCACTGATATTTAATCTATTCTGGATCTACCGATTTTCCTAGTTTCACTTTGAAATACTTCAACTTACTTTTACAGAGGGAGGTACAATGTTCTAATTTAGATGCTGAGTTCTGTGGAGTTTCTAAGTTAACAAGAGAGGTTGTAACAATATGTCCAACAGACGAAGATGCATGGCGGGTGGCTTCAGAAAGGAAACAGTGCTCATCATATGCTGGCAAATGCACAAGAAATTTAACATATCATTGTGTCATAAATCCCTGGCAGAATTTAACGTTGGAAGTTTGTGCCCCTTCCACTCGAATTCGTGCAGGTAAATCATGAATAAAAAGGGTCCATGAAACCCCAGTTTGGATAAAAAAAAATATTTTATCATAATCTATAATCACATATCCAAAAGTTTTCATATGTCAATATTAAAATTAAAGTAGTATTTTTGTACAAAGTCACAAAAATAGTATTTTATCCATACATTTCTAATCTTGATACTATTCATATCAATTTTTAGTGTACATTAAAGGTAATGTACTTAATGTACATTATAATGTACATTAATAGTACTGTACTTAAAGATAGAGGAGATAGCTTCAGTAATCCATAACAAAGGATATGTTTATTTAGATATATTCTTCTTACAAACCACTTGGTCAGAAAGGCATTATTTGCTGGCCAAGTGTTTTTATCAGCTACATTCCTCAAAAACCCTTATAGCCCATTTTGCTATCAAAAGTCGGGATTGTTCACGTCAAAAGACTTGGAATTGCACCTTATACATCTATAGGAAAGTTGTAATTTTCTTAATGTATTCAAATCGTTCTTCAATGTGCTGGATCTATACACTGTAAGCATATTTTTACATTTAAAAAAATTAAAAAAAAGAAGACTTCTAATGAATTATGCAAATCAATTAACAGTCAATTTTGTTTATGCCATGTGCATTGGTCCAGGGTGGGGTGGGCTGGGTGAGTGTTACAAAATGATTTTTTTTCATAATGAATTATAAAGAGAACAATTTTAAAAATCACTTGAAGGAGAAAAACGGAGCCAAAGAAAAGTAGTATCTTGTATTTTTAGCGAGATTTGCTATTTTCGGGTTTCAACATGGCTGAATGGCTCCTGACAGTTTTTGCCTATTTTGCAATTGAATAAGTATTCCTTTTAAATGTAAGAGTAAGTCAAGAGCAGACACATGCACTTCATTAGCCGGAATATACATGATAAAATTTTCAAATTTCAAGTTATAATTAATCTGGAATTAGCTGACTAATTTTTGATGTAAAAAAAAAATCTTGTATGTGCTGAATTGTTTATAAATAACAGTGCTTCATCATTATGTTTATGCAGGTCACTGTGCTGAATATAACAAAAGAGGAGGCAAAATACAGGAGTTTTATCTTCAAAACTGTAAAACATGTTTGAAGGATTATATGTCAAATGAGGCGTATAAGTGTATGTATGATGTATTTATACCATATTAGATTGATTGTAATGGCTTAGAATTTTTGCCTAACTATTTTTTATTTATTTTTTTTTTTTTTTTGCGTTGTCAATCTAGCTAGGTCATTTTGACAAGAAATTCCTTAATAATTTATAATATGAATAACAAACTGAATCACATTTAGATATTATCAGACAGATTATATACTGAAGCGAAGATTATCCTCAGCATCACCCTATAACTTGTTTCATGTTCGTTTCTTGTCTTTTACCTTCCTATATATGTTAAACATGTATACAAGGCTTGAATACTGTTCGTTATCTACATATATTTCACGTTACATCAAATCTTAAACAAAACTCTCACGGATATGAGTACATGTCGTTATCATATTGATCATTAAATTTTTTGAAAATTTCCAAATAAAGTTTTCAATAACTTAAAACCAGAAATCCGCTGCTGCATCAGGCCCATATGTTAAGAATAAATCATCAGGTAAAATTATTGGAGCGCGTCTATTTCAAATTAACTATAAGTTGTGTAAGCCTTACCTGAATCCAACTTACATACTCAGTAGAGAATAAAAGTGTTTCATATAGGATGTAACAACATAAGACATACTTTAAAGCAGGCTACATCTGACGTAATTTCCTGATTGCAGCATAGCTTCTTCTTTTTAAAAAAAAAGTTATCAGAGACAGATATACATGTAATTATATATATATTTCTCAAGTAAGATATTCCTTTTAACAGACAAAGAGTGTTACACATCGGTTTACAAAACTCATCATCATCAACAGCCAGAACAACAAGCTCAACAACAGCACGGGTAATCCCCTTCTCTGTAATGATTTTTTATAATGGAAATGGGTTCATTTCAATTTATGATATCAACAGATTGAAATACAACATTTGGTTATTGAGTGAAAGATAATTTGATTTAGAGCATCAAAGTTAGAATAATAGCTTATTTTTTAAACAGGAAAAAGGACAATCAAATTAAAAAAAAATGAAATAGAAGTATTTATAATAATCAATGATGAAATAATAATAAAACATTCATAATATGTTTGTCTTTTAATTTTCTTTCAATAGAAAATCAAAGAATAGGGACACCAGCGTAAATGCCAGCAGTTTAGTTGATTCGAGAAACATTAATATATTTTGTGTACTATTTCTGTTACAAACTATATTGCTAATTAAATTTGTATGATTGATTGATTGTTGTTTTACGTCCATTGAAAGAATTTTTCACTCTATGAGATGTCACCACATAATGATGAAGGGCTTCAAATAAAGACCTTTGCTAGGCAAATAGGGCCATTGAGAAGTTAGGGTTCTTTATCGTGCCAACGCCTGTCGTGACACAGGGCCTCTGGTTGCAAGGTTTCATCCAAAAGACCCGGACTTGCACTTTTCATAACGGGCGCTTGTCCTTTGCAAAAAAAAAAAAAAAACAAAACAAAACAAAACAAAAAAAAAAAAAAAAAAAAAAAAAAACTCTAAGGTTTTACGCGGCGCTGGCTATGAGAATCGAACCTGGTTCTTCCCGATCACGAAGAGAGCGCCATACCACTAGTTTACTCTACCGGTTCAAATTTACATAAAGTGAAGCCTATATTGAATTATGTAAAATGCTGTTTAAAGAGAAATGCAAAGGTTTAAACTGATCATTTAGCTCAAATGCAATATAAAAAATGCCAATCACCTTCGTCATTGAGATACTTTGTTTTCAATTAATGTGTAAAGTGAATATTTAAGGTGGAGTCAAGTTTAATAATGCATGCTAGTTGTGTTGCAGAGATTAAGAGAAAATGGCAAGAATACCTCAGCGGATTTCAAAGCGACTCATCATGAAATTTACCTTTGTTTATAGAAGAATGCCCATGTTGAAATGATGACTAGTATTAATCGATGAAATTATACACTTTTTATTTGCGAGAACTTTATTTCACGTAATTACGCAAGACCGTGTGTGTAATGTTCACCATGATATATTGGATATTCTATAAACTAGCAAGAAGGGTATTTTGTAAAGGAAGACTTCGGTTGACAAGGGCATTGTTTTTTTTTTTACTAAAAAAAAAATTCTATTGCTTTTAACATTGGGTAATAAATCCTAGTTTAAACCATATATTTTTAGCTCACCTGAGCTGAAAGCTCAAGTGAGCTTTTCTGATCACCCGTTGTCCGTCGTCCGTCCGTCTGTCCGTCCGTCCGTCTATAAACTTTTCACATTTTCAACTTCTTCTCAAGAACCACTGGGTCAATTTTAACCAATTTTGATACAAAGTATCCTTGGGTAAAGGGGAGTTTAAATTATTAAAATAAAGGGCCACGTCCCCTTACAAGGGGAGATAATCAAGAAAAGACAAAAATAGGGTGGGGTCATTAAAAAATCTTCTTCTCAAGAACCACTGGGCCAGAAAAGCTGAAACTTATATGGAAGCATCCTGGGTTAGTGTAGATTCTAAATTGTTCAAATCATGACCCCCGGGGGTAGGGCGGGGCCATAATAGGGAATCCAATTTTTACATTGAAATATATAGGAAAATCTTCTTCTCAAGAACTACTGGGCCAGAAAAGCTGAAACTTATATGGAAGCATCCTGAGTTAGTGTAGAATCTAAATTGTAAAAATCATGACCCCTGGGTGTAGGACGGAGCCACAATAGGGAATCCAAGTTTTACATTGAAATATATAAGAAAAATATTTAAAAATATTCTTCTCAAGAACCACTGGGCCAGAAAAGCTGAAACTTATATGGAAGCATCCTGGGTTAGTGTAGAATCTAAATTGTTCGAATCATAACCCCCGGGGGTAGGGCGGAGCCACAATAGGGAATCCAAGTTTTACATTGAAATATATAAGAAAAATCTTTAAAAATCTTCTTCTCAAGAACCACTGGGCCAGAAATACTGAAACTTATATGGAAGCATCCTGGGGTAGGGTAGAATCTAAATTATTCAAATCATGACCCCCGGCGGTAGGGCGGGGCCACAATAGGGAATCCAAGTTTTACATTGAAATATATCGGAAAATCTTCTTCTCAAGAACCACTGGGCCAGAAAAGCTGAAACTTATATGGAAGCATCCTGGGTTAGTGTAGATTCTAAATTGTAAAAATCAAGACCCCTGGGTGTAGGACGGAGCCACAATAGGGAATCCAAGTTTTACATTGGAATATATAGGAAAAATCTTTAAAAATCTTCTTCTCAAGAACTACTGGGCCAGAAAAGCTGAAACTTAAGTGGAAGCATCCATTGTTCAAATCATGACCCCCGGGGGTAGGGCGGGACACAATAGGGAATCAAGTTTTACATTGAAATATAAAAGAAAAATCTTTAAAAATCTTCTTCTCAAGAACCACTGGACCAATAAAACTGAAACTTATTTGGAAGCATCCTGAGATAGTGTAGATTCTAAATTGTTCAAATCATGACCCCCAGGGGTAGGGCGGGGCCAGAATAGGTATATTAAAAGGGGGGAAATCTGGAAAAGAACAGCATGGCCAAAGTTACTCAGGTGAGCGATGTGGCCCATGGGCCTCTTGTTTTAGAATTACAAGCATTATGAGTAAACATACATTTGAAAAATATTAAACGGGATTTGGAAACAAGTTAAAGGCATATTTATCCGTCTCCTTATTACTGAGTATTTGTTTTTGTAAATAACACATCCTTTTTTGTTGTTCAGAACAAGGTTGAAACTAAAAATAAATATTCTTATTTTAAAGGCCTATGTAAGAATTTTTGGGGGATTTCAAGGGGAAAGGATACGATAGATAATTGTTTATGAATATCTGGATTTTGTTTTTTTTTTTTTTGGGGGGGGGGGGGTTACGAATTAAGATATTAAGAAATAAATATACTTAGTATAAACTAATACAGGATGAAGAGTACGTATATACCAAAAATGGGTCCCAAAAGGTCGTGTGTGTTTGTTTGTAAACAAGGTGTTAATCGTTTTTCTGTATACTAATCTTGTGACTAAAATTGGAGAATGAATGTCAAAATCATGAACACCTATGTTTAGAACACGAGAGAACAGCACCCACGACTATTTATCCGAATAAATGCAATCCGTGCCCCTCCCCTTTTTACACATCTGCTGGTTGCATTTGTAATCTACGTGTATTTTTTTCTACTGACAACGGGGAGCGAGGGGATTACAAAATTATTACATACTTATTTGGTTCTTATCTGTTTATTTCTAAAATGAAATTTTCAGTCTTCTTTTTTCAAATCCTGACTATGTTCCTTTAAAATCGGGGTTAATTGTAATAGTATTTTGGTGGGAAAATGAATTCCTTAGGTTTTGAAAGCGAAGACATTAACGATTTCTTCATTTTTTTTTTTTTTTTAGATAATCTTAACAGACAGAGACTTTGCTCAAACAAACACTTTTCTATTCGAGTTTCTGGCAGGCACATATACTACAGTACGATGTCACTGCGACTCTTAAAGGCCAAAATTACCCAATATATATTTGAGATCGATGACATTTACATATAATTCCACAACAGAGTATTTGTGCCTACATGTATTTACATGTGTTTGTGAAGTCTTTAAACATGATATCACGACAAAAAGTAAAATATGCATAGTAGCTCTCATTCTTAGTAATTTATAGATTTCATGTAAGCTCAGATTGTTAATTATAGAAAATCCAGGTAATACAAGACTTAGTGTTTACATGCCAAAAAACAAGCATTTTAAATCTAACCATATTTTATCAGTAAATGTATATACAGAACATGTAAAATCTCTTGCTAAATGTTATCCTTTGAAAATGTACTATTTATGTACATGTTAAGTTCAGTATTGGATGTGTGCGATGGGTCATACCCAGCGGTCCCGCGCGAGGTATATTTTGCGAAAGCATTGTCATGGAGAAATATAGAGATAATATGAAACTTGTCTCTGGTCGTAACATCTTACATATAATATGCTGCATGCACGGATGGAAGGGGAGGGGGGGGGGGGTCCGGAACCCCAACCCACCCCCTGGAAATTGCGGGATCCTTGATACGCACCTGTGCAGATGTCCTAAAATGCCAGAGATTCATGCCTGTAAGATTTTTTGATTTTAAGTGTACTTAAAATAAAATGTATTTAGTATCTGACAATATATGGTTCTTCGAATAGGGTTAGAACTTGCTCTGCACATCAATCTATCAAGAAAACACAACTTGCAGGATCAGGTATATGTGATAATTTCTTGAAATATTCGACGGGGGAGGGGGTTCGACGTAATGTGGGTAAACGTGCGTATATCGGGGAAATGGTTTGATAGTGTGCGGATAATAAAGATCATTCACACACCCTACATTTGTCTATATTGATGGCAAACTTCATCTTTGCTTCTGGATTCAAATCAAAATCAGAGTCAAATTTGGAAGCGGAATTCTTTTTTGTTTTCGAATGTTGGACAGATTAAGTTATAATGAAAAAATGACAAATTTGTAATTAAAAAAAAAAGAGAATTATTACTAAAAGGTAACGCTATTTTCTCTCTGAATGTGTATGTGGCGGGGGGGGGGGGGTATTTTCATTTGATCTGTATAGGAAATGTTATAAAAACATTTAATTAGTATAACATGACAATTTTTAAAAAAAAATATATGTTTTATAATGGACTTTTACGTATGTTCTAATTTCACAGTTATAAAAATATGAAAAAGTATTTCGATTGCGCGATTAAGAATTAATCACATGCATGGAAAAAATACATGTGCATATAATTTAATGATTAAATAAATGTGTTACTGGCTTATTTAACTTACATTTAAATGCAAATGCTTTTAAATTGTTCAATCGTTTTTGTCTTTTTTTTTAATCAAAAAATGCTTTGAAAAGGTAATGATATTAAAGAAAATCTCAATAAAACTAGAGAGAAATCACGCAACATTTACGACGTCGCCAGGGACATATATGTCCCTCCCGCAGCGAACGGTAAAAGGACATATATGTCCTTCCCGCAGCCAGAGAGTTAAAGATTATGAAGATCAATCGCAGTACAGTTAAGGCAACATTTTCTATAAAAAGGCACCAAAAACGAGACACTTAAAGTTCATCCGTCTTATTTTTTAGCATGAAACTCTATCTGAAATATCTTAATGGCTTTATGAAGAGTTTGTCCATCGCTTTTAACATCGGTATTTTTTGTCATCATGTGACCCTCTACAGTCACGTGAGCTCCGATTTTAGGTCAAAAT